ATTTCTTTCTGTTCCTTTACCAGAGTAATATAATGATGCAAGATTATGTTGTGCAATTTTATTACCATTTTCTGCTGATTTTTCAAACCAATAAAATGCTTTTTCTAAATAGTTTTCTATATCTTTATTGCTGTAGTATAAACATGCAAGTTTATATTGTACGAGTTCATTACCAAATTCTGCCGCTTTTTGATACCAATAAAAGGCTTTTTCTAAATTCTTTTCTGTTCCTTCATATAATAAAGCAAGTTTACGCATTGCACCTTCATTACCATTTTCAGCTGCTTTTTGATACCAATAAAAGGCTTTTTCTAAATTATTTTCCATTTCTTCATATAATAATGCAATTCCACACATTGCAAATTCATTACCATTTTCAGCTGCTTTTTGATACCAATAAAAGGCTTTTTCTAAATTATTTTCCATTTCTTCGTATAATAATGCAAGTTTACACATTGCAAGTTCATTACCATTTTCAGCTGCTTTTTGATACCAATATAAGGCTTTTTCTAAATTCTTTTCTATTCCCTCGCCATTGTCATACAAACTTGCAAGATGATATTGTGCATCGATATGATTTCGTTCTGCTGCTTTTTGGTACAAATAAAAGGCTTTTTCTAAATTATTTTCTATTTCTTTACTGTTATAATATAAGAGGGCAAGTTTATATTGAATTTCTTCGTTACCATCTGCAGCTATTTTTTGGTACCAATAAAGTGATTTTTCTAATTTTTTTTCTGTTTTTTGATATAATAATGCAAGTTTATACATAGCAAGCTTATCACCACTTTCTGCTGCTTTTTGATACCAATATGAAGCTTTTTCTAAATTCTTTTCAGTTCCTTCACCATCATCATATAAACATGCAAGATTATAAATTGCAAACTCACTACCATTTTCTGCTGCCTTTTGAAACCAATAAAAAGCTTTTTCTAAATTTTTTTCTGTCCCTTTACCATTTTTATAAACATGTGCAAGATCACTTTGTGCATTAATATGATCCTTTTCTGCCGCTTTTTGAAACCAATAAAAGGCTTTCTCTAAATTCTTTTCTATCTCTTTACCACCATTGTTATATAAACATGCGAGAGTATACATTGCATGTTTGTTACCATTTTCTGCTGCCTTTTGAAACCAGTAGAAAGCTTTTTCTAAATTCTTATCTGTCCCTTTACCATCGTAATAACAACATGCAAGATTATGTTGTGCGTTAATATGATCCTTTTTTGCTGCTATTTGATACCAATAAAAGGATTCTTCTAAATTCTTTTCTTCACTATATAATAATGCAAGATTATAAATTGCAGATATATTTCCATTTTTTGCTGCTTTTAAATACCAATAAATGGCTTTCTCTAGATTCTTTTCTGTTCCTTTACCATTTTTATAAAAATGTGCAAGATAACATTGTGCGTTGACGTGATCTCTTTTTGCTGCTATTTGATGCCAATAAATGGCTTTCTCTAAATTCTTTTCTGTTCCTTTACCATTTTCATAACAATGTGCAAGATTATATTGTGCTTTGACATCATCCCTTTTTGCTGCTATTTGATACCAATAAAAGGCTTTTTCTAAATTATGTTCTGTTTCTTCATATAATAATGCAAGATTATACATTGCATCTTCATTGCCATTTTCTGCTGCTTTTTGAAACCAATAAAAGGTTTTTTCTAGATTCTTCTCCGTCCCTTTACCATTGTTATAAAAATGTGCAAGATTATACATTGCAAACTCATTGCCATTTTCCGCTGCTTTTTGATTCCAGTAAAAGGCTTTTTTTAAATTCTTTTCAGTACCTTCGCCATAGTCATATAAACATGAAAGATTATACATTGCAAGATTATTACCACTTTCTGCTGCTTTTTGAAACCAATAAAAGGCTTTTTTCAAATTTTTTTCAGTTTCTTCACCATTGTAGTATATACATGCAAGTTTATATTGTACGCGTTCATTACCATTTTCAGCTAATTTTTGATACCAATAAAGAGATTTTTCAAATTTTTTTCTGTTTTTTCATATAATAATGCAAGATTATACATAGCAAGCTCATTACCATTTTCAGCTGCTTTTTGAAACCAGTAAAAGATATTTTTTAAATTCTTTTCTGTTTTTTCACTATTGCAATAAAAAAATGCAAGATTATATTGTGTAATATGATTACGTAAACATGCAAGAACATATTGTGCACTAATACTAATATTATTACTTGACATTTTGATTTTTTTTTAAATAAACAATTTCATGTCAAATGTTAGGAAAAGAATTTTTTTTCGTTTAAATACAATCTGGATTTTTAACATAAATTTTAAACATTCTAAATTTAGCAGTATTAAATATTACAGTCAGAATTAATGTAACAACAATATGTTTCATCAATGCTACGCAAATATATCTGGACCCGATGCATTGATTTCGGGTGTATAGAAAACATGTATTGAACGGTTACTAGCTAAATATGTTTTGTACAGTTGATTTTTTCGCATGTATGATATACATCCATTTTTAGTAACCATACAGTCCATACATGTATAGTCTTCTGCCCCGCGTGATTTTGTGCCACATCAGCCTCATTGATTTAATTTATTTACGTTTAACAGCAGTGATTTTGTAACTTTCGAAACTCTCCTTTCTTTTTTTTCTTCCTTTATTTAATGTCAGATAAAAGTTTATTATTTAAGTACAAAATTTAAAACTTATTGTTGGTTTGTTTACATATTTGTGGAGTTATTTTTATATTTTGTAACAATATTAAATGCATTATACATTTTTTAAATCTCTTTAGGTAATATGAGTGCGTTTATATATTTATTTAGGTATTATTTATTGTACTTGTTATATCTATTAGGAGAGACGCGTTTTTATATTTATTTAGGTTTATTTACTATACTTATTATTTTATTAGGAGATACGCATTATTTTATTAATAAATAAGCAGACAAATTTCAAAAATTTTTTTTTTTAAATTTAAAAACATAAAAGTTTAAAAGCATGAAATCAATATTTTTTATACTTTAAAGTATGAAAATTTAATTTCTTTATATTTTAAAAGTGCGAGAAGCGAAAAAAATTTGCATTAAAATTTCCTAAGATAAATGTTATGCAAAAGCCAAAAAGCTGATGCGCCACAAAGATGGTGATGCTAGTAGGTCATCCAAACTATACAATATATGTATGGTTACTGTCGGTTACTGTCATGGGATAATTTTTTTATATATATTTTATTTTTATTTTTTTATTTTAGTATAGTTATTTTTAGTTATTTTTAGATATTTAGTGATTAGAAAGCATAGTGGTGAGAAGGTGGCTGAATACAAGTGGCTGTATAGCCCAGATCGCCACAATTGGCCGGGAGGCGATAAGCAATTCTGTTCGAATAGACAGATTTGCACAAAATATTAACGTTATAAAAAGGACCGTTGTTGGAGGTGCAGTTCATAGTTCAGTTCAAGTCAGTCAGAGTTCAACATAAGTTCAGTTCATAATAATCAAAGAAATAATAATGTTAATTGGAATGAAATGACTTGTTGTACATGTGGAAAACCAGGACATACTTCTAGAATCTACAGAGAAAGTCAAGGAAAACCATACGGAGGAAATAACCGAATTAATAGAGGAAATAAGTTTAGTTTAGGTTTTATTTTCACCGATAGATATACGGATATTACAGAGCGCCGAGAGAGGCAATAATATCGTATTTTGTTTAATTGTTAATAAACCTGCCGATCTGTTTCCGCATTATTCATATACGTTTTATCATTTTTTGACACATTGTTTATTTTTGTTTATTATTGTTTATTATTGTTCACTTTGTTAACTTTTGTCATACATTGTTGATTTTTCGTATATATCTTATAACTGACTAATTGTCTTTAAACACACCACCCGCTTAAACCTATCACATCACTTATTGTCGTTTACAATCGTTTATTATCGTTTACCCGCACAAAATTTTATCCTATCGCTCGTCATATATCGTTATATTACCCTGCCATTTATTAACCGATCCTTATATTTCTTTCTGTTACTACCTACCGAACGCGTAAACCCTACAACACATATTTAGCAGCTTGTCGATCACTTTTTTTTACTACAGTATGATCAAAATTGCAGGGTTTTTCTGTCATATGCAAACCTAAATTTCACCATAATACGCAGAATTTTTTTTATTCTCTGGGTTAAAATGAACGTTTTGATTCAATTTTTTCTGTTGTTTCCTAACAAAAGTTAAAAGATCTATTCGTGAAGTCGGTTATTTTTTATTAAAATATTATAGCCCTTCAGGTAAAGAAGCTATACAAACTAAATATAAAAAAAATAATTTGAGTTTATTCAAGTTTTTTAGCGTTTAACTGACGAAATAATATTGTTTTTATTTATTTTAGTTGAAGATAACTCAGTTCACGAACTCTCCCGTGTTATTAGTACCTTCAGGATCTAAGTCGCATTCTTTGACCAATCAAAAAATCCGTAAAACTGCCGATCCATTTTTCAAAGAAATTTCCGGGACCAGCGGTCTCGGAAAAGTGCCAAGAAATTTTTTATTAACAGGGATAAAAATGAATTAATTAGTCTTCTCGTACATAGTCAATCCTATGAATTGCTATTTGAAACGTATAAAGTACTTTATAAGCTTTCATTATATTTTTCTTGATTGTACGACCACTGAAAAAATCTCATCAAAAGGTGATTCACTATCTTCGGCTTCGTTCTCATTTTCATCGTTTTCAAATTTATAATAGTTTTGATCGTTATAATCATAACCGTATATCATATCTCCAGAAGATTCTGCGATATTTTTATTATCAACTAAAATATTGTGTCTAAGATCATTATTTACATGATCATTTTTACTTTTGACCCTGTAAAAAATCTGATCCGCGTTTTAACTTTCCATGTTTTTTCCGTAAATATATCATTTTCATAGAATTTATAGCCTTAAATCATGGAAATTTTCATCTCGCTAACACGGATATCCGTGAATGTATCATTTTCACAGAATTTTTATGGAAGACACGGAGAATAATGGAAATATTCGGATAAAAATTTTTCATAGGGCGAACGTTTTGTCACATACGGCACAACACTTTCTTTCCCTAATAGAGATTTTTGTCGATATTAATAGAATTAGTTTCATCAGATTTACAAAGTAATCCTTATACCTTGAACAACGACGTGGATATCATCATCGTTAAGCAACTTTAAAGTGCTGATTCATCTGTTAAATGGAAAAGAATCAGAAAATCCGCATCAAATATTATAAAATCATTTTTGTTCAAATCTCGGGAAACTTGCACTGCCCATAACTTAGTATCAATGGACAATATTCTGAAATATATCCTTTGCTTCTTTCAGGGTCGCCTGCTTAAACCCATAGACACTTTTGTGTTTTCTGACAACGACCACGAACTGGCACATTTCGTTATACATAGGGCTGCCCATTATTGTCCGGAGCGAAGCGAAGGACTATATATGTCTACGCACTATGATGATCTATGGAAATAACGTGTAAATTTTCAATCACGTGAGTTTCTCTGTCCAGGAATTCCAAGGCGTTATGCTGCTAATCAGCAGAAAATTACCGGAATTCCAAGGCGTTATGCTGCTAATAATTAGTAGAATATCGCTACATCTTTATTTATTATACCTCGCTCCGGACTTACAACGGTTCCCGTTTCCTAGTAAAATAATATACGTAAGTATTCATAAAACCAATTTCAAATGTATGATCAACATGCTATACACCAAAGCATTTGTCAAAAAACATCATTTCGTATGAAAACCTCAGTCCCTTGATTTGCAAGTTCAGATTGGATAAAAATTTCGATCGTCATAACTCCTCATTCTGGTTAAAAGGAAAATATGAATCGAGAAAGAACAATTGATCTCACGGAAAATGTCGTATGATGGCGCCATATCTGAAAGATATTGTTTCTCACTTTAACATAATTAAGTTATCGTTTCTTTCGCTACTGATAAATTTATAACAAGCCACCGAGTCTATTTTATTAGCCACGATGAGGTTTTTACGAGTATATATAGTACACCCTTTCAACTTTTTTTTTTAACTTACATTTGTTCACATAAACTCATTTTCAGCAAAATTCAAACGAATCATTATTCAAGTTTTAATATTTTATGGTCCTATTTTGCCTTTTCCTAAATATATATAGTGTATATTTCACTATACTTTATCCGTAATTTGTAAAATTCAAACAAATCATTTAATTCTTTAATAACTTACATGTCCAAAGCTTCAAAGTAATCATTTAAATATATCATTATTTACGTTCTAAGTTCATTGTAAGTGCCATGATCCAGTTTAGTATCTCTATAGTGAACATACGACCAAAATATTAATAAAACATATTATTCACATCTTTGTGGAGTAACAATGCTCTTTATTATTAAATTAGGATATGATAAAGAAGATGGAAAAGTTGATTGCGTTAAATAGTATAAAAGTGCTAACAACCTATTTGATCTTTTTTTTGATAAATTTTTAATGCACATTGTCTGACATTTTGGTAGAAGGTTTCATGATTTAAATTGCATGAATTGCCAATGTATACTATATAGATACTGTATATAGCGATATGAGCGATATAAGTAAATATAATGAAGAATGATCGCGATAAAAAAATTGAAAGATTCTGGTATTACTGAAAACGAGATCCAGAACTAAAATCGTACCTATAAAAATAATAGTCAGTTTAAAATATAATAAATATATATTTCATTTAAATTCAATAATATTAACAATATTTAAAACATACCATTAAATTCTCTTCTTTAGTAATTGATTATTTAAATGTTATGCTGTTTTAAGTGGTTCTAAATATAGTATCAGAATATAAATTTTTTTATTTAATCATTAAAAAATTTTTTAAAAAAAATATGTATTACTTGTTGAAAACGTCCAAATATTTCTTCAATTCTCATTAAAGGTTCATCTCTCTCTTGAGTGGTACATAGTTTATAATCTCCCGAAATCGTTTGTTGTAATAGTAGATCCAGTTTATCCATATCATCGTTTATTTGAAATATCAAAACATTCGTAGTAGATAACTTCACTGGAATGGTATATTTGATCATATTGAAGGATCAATAACTTCATTTATAGCTGGCTTTGTTGTTTCAATTACAGGACAATTATATCCAGTACCTACAGATAAAAAAAAAATATTAAATATATATATATAGTATATAGAGAAAGAAAAGAAATTAAAAGCTTACTCCGATTATTTAATCTTGGTAAAGATTTTAATAAAAACTCTAATTTATTGTTACATGTTCCACAAGAAATCAAATCAACATCCGTATTATTTGTTGGATTAGAAACTATATGTTGATAAAAATCTCAACTGATAGTAATTTATTGTATTACTTATCATAATACATACATATCCTTCAGCATTATAAGTTGCAGTACATAATTTAGTTGTTATATTATTTAATTTTTTGGTAGTTTAGTAGATAGTTTAGATTTTCATCTAATAGATGGAGGTTTTGGTTTTATGTATATTTTAAATAAAGGATCATCAGTAATAAAAGATCCAAATCTTCAATACTGGAGAGTTTATGTATCATTCCTAAGAGAAGTACAGATTCACATTTACCAAGGTATATGATAATAGGTTTGGTGTATAAAAATCACCATTTTTACGTTCCACCACTTCTCCTGTTGTAATATCTCTAAAATAAGATGAAAAAGTTAATTGACTGAACAATAAAATATTTTCAAAAAAAAAAATTGTTATTTGTAAAAATACTTACGGTAGTATGCTAAACCAACGCCATGTTGCTATACTGACCTTCTTCATCTGATTTTTCAATACTAATAAGCTTATGTTCAACAAATCTGTTAGCATTTCCTAAATATATTTTGCTAAAAAAATACTATTGATTAAACTTACTTTATAGACTCGTTGCTGTAATTAATTATTATGTTATATTTTCCCTTAACACCATTGTTTGATTTAAGATAAACTATTATTACATGATTATCAATTAAGGGTAAAATATCCATATTAATGGGACAAACTGCTTCAGGAAAAGTGTAATTAAAATCCATATATTTTATTTTTCCTGTTTTATCCATCAATTGTAGATGAAAATAAGGTAACATGCATGCTGAATCTTTATCTTCAAAGGCCTTCAGTTCTTCATAAATGAATGATATCTTGGAGTGATATATCTTGGAGGGATTTATTTTAAGATTTAATATATATACTGTATCTCGCGATGATATGTTTTGAGATGAGACAAAAATGCAATAGATGGATATTAAACAATAAAGGTAATTTCTCGTCATTTATAGTATCTTGATTATTTATAAATATTCTTTTTATTAAACGTGAAAAAAACAAAAAAAACAAACGTGTTTAAAAAAAAAACCAAACATTAAAAAAAGGGGGGAGTGAATGATTATTCATTGTAATACAATTTCAAGCATTTCTATTATTCAAAACCGATCTGCATTACTTTATTCACATATGTAAAAAAAATGCTGTAAAAGGTATGTTACAGAAAAATGAATTAGTCTATTAATAGTTAATTGGTAATTTAAATGGAAAAATTAATTGTTTACGTCTAACAGTCTTTGAAAGTAATTTGGAACCTTGTATTTGGTATGCACATGTGTTTGGTATCAAAGGAGTTAGTAGTAAAACGTCTATTACCTTGTACAAATAAACCTTGGAAGCAATTAAACCATAAGTACTGGGATCAATAAACATAAACATATAGTAAATTTATGTAAAAAATTCATCATAATTGATGTTAGTATCACTGTTACAGAAATTTTGGTGTATTATTACTCTTCGTCTATCACTCAGCTATGTTTCATCTTTCTATGATTATTGGATGCAAAATGGTGCAATAAACAAGCCAATTTGCTGACATTTTGACAAATTATTCCTCATAGAGATATGAAACCATTACCATTTGTAAGACAAGCAGAACAGTAATGCAGGGGAATGAAAAGATATTCATAAAAATTTTATTATACATAAAACGAGACAATGAAAATTTATCGGTACAGGAAATTATCAGTACACCAGGGATCGGTACACGGTAAATTGTTATTTATTACGACTACAGCAGGCTAGTGAGTACGACTACGTGTGATTACGTGTCGTACTCACGTACTCATTACCACGTGACTTGCTGCGGAATTACTATATAAGGCAATGGCGCAGTAATCACATGTTAGTGAGTACGTGAGTACATAGTGTGACAAATAACGTAACCGTACTCACTAGCCTGCTGTAGTCGTAATAAATAACCCTATAATCATCGGTACATAGAGGTTTGACTGTAGTATTGACGTAAGTACTAACAAGAATTGGTGTTTCGATCCGATCCGTTGATTAGCATCACAACATTTTCTCAAACTATAATTTTTGTCAGATTTAAAAAATTATTCTTCTGCAATTTTTATTAATTTTGGTCAATGAAACTTATAGCTCCAACTTAAATAAACCGATGCCAAACCGTAGTAAACCGCGGATTGACCCGTTAAAACCCATCCGGATTGAAGCACTAACAGGAATGACTGCAGTTTTTTAATTCAGTTACACCAGGATTATATTTTATTTAAAAAACAGTCTTTAGCTTATCTTTTACAAAATATTAATTATAGTATAATCAATAACATAAATTGTGGGTAAATTAATATCTTAAAAAGTTTAAATAACAATTTTATTAAAATCGATTGTAACATGATAATATTCGGTCAAAATTCCATGATGTCTTTAGCAATTTACAAAACAAATTCTTTTGATATTAATTAAGAGATTATTTCATTGATAATTATAATTATTTTCTGATGAATATTTTAGTGATAACTAAGTACTATTTTAGTTTAATTGTCCAAAGCGTAGCGTAGGACCGTTTACTTCTAAGCATAACCGCGACTAATTAGACTTTTTATGTATATGTCACGTGATGGAAATAAATTAGTAATAATCGTGTTCTAATGAAATTTTTATAAATGTGTAAAGTTCATGCTTGCTTCGTTTGATAAAAAAAATCAAGTCGTGTTTTTTTATTGTGGTTTTTCTTATTGAATTTTGTTTATTTGCCTGTAATGCGAAGTAAAAAGGAGCTTAGCCAAACTGCTGGGGCAATTAGGAAAAGTAAAAAAGAGATGATAAAAATGCTACATGCGTCTTGTTAATGACGGTGAAAGTGAAAAAAGAAAAAATTCCTTAGAAACACCCGAGCAGCATGAATTCCGTTTGGCTAGAAATTGCTTGTAAACAAAAACAAAAAAAAAAGATACCGCCGCGTTTTAGAAACTGCAGATGTATTTGTCTGCTGAATCGTCAGGATAAACCGCTTCCTGATAGGACCCGGACAATTATAATCAAGGTCATATCCCCTATGTTAAGAATTTTTAGAAATTTATTGTTGCCATGATCTTGAATTTATTTTAAAAGATGTAAATGTAAAATCTTAATAAAATAGTTGTCTTCCTACTATTTATAACTTTGTAATTTAAAAGGTAATATTTATTAATATCAGATATAGTTTTTTTTTGAATATTTTTATGTATACCAATAGTGATCCAAATTTTGCCATTTTAATCAGTAAATTTGCATAATTTTGGTATCAAAAGATTATTTTCTTTAAAAGAAACATTTTTTTCTATATTATTTTATAATATTAATAAAATGATAAGATAAATAATGTATAAAGTTTAAAACATAGTAGTTGGATATGACCTCAACTATAATTATCCGGGGTCCTTTCCTGATAATATTATAATATTTTGCGAAAACTTCGTACTGATGTGAATATGGAAAATTGTTATCGGTGTTATAGCGATAACAATTATGTGAAAAATTCTCTGCTAAAAACAATATGGATTCAGGTGAATGTACCTGATGAGTTACCGAGATCGAAGAAATGTTGATTGCACAAACTTTTCCCATCATCTCGGTATATTATCTTGGAGGCTAGTAAGCCTACCGCAAACTTTCCTTAAGATATCAGATATAGGAAAGTTTATAACCCGGCTTTCACATCCTCATCGCTAGATATGCTTGTTGCGTTCCCTAGTTTAGATTAATTTAGTAAATCTAATATTTGATTAATTCATGTGACAATTTAGAATTTTAAACCGCATGAATTAGAAATGTTCTCGGATAAATTTAATTTTTAGTGAAATTTTATTTGATATAAAGCATTTAACGATAATTTATTTGAGGTTTTTATTTTCTACGCACCTGCATAAATTGCAAGGGCACATAAAATTTAAATTATTATAAAAATTTTACAATTTTACGCAATATGAAATTTTACTAAAATTTATAAAATTTATCTAGTGTACATATTTTTTTTTACGCACCCCTAATAATAATACAATTACTTATAAAAATGAAACTTATATAATACGTCTACAATATCTACAGTATAATTAAAACAATGATAAGTTAACAATTTTTCGTCATAAATGTCAATTAACAACTTACATAAGAGTATGCAGAGATATGTTTTTTGACACCGATGATGGTCAATTATCTTCTTAATTATTGCTCACATGGAATTTTTATGACTTATTGCGTATTTTGAATTTTATTTTTATTTATTTTATTTAAAAAATTAAGACAATAATGGGAGTCATACAAACTTCCTTACAAAAGGAAGCATATTTTGAAACCTTTCGCTATTTATATTAATATTAGTCTAGTCATTACCGTTACGTATACCACGTGATTAATATTAAACTCTGCATTTAATAAAATTTTAAACTATCGAAACTTTTCCCTTTGAAACTTTCCCCCCTTTCCTTCATACTTTCCCTTTCCCTCGTCCTATGCCTTTCCTCTCATCCTTCCTCTTTCCTAATTCTTCACTCTATAAATTTCTTAATAATTAAAGAAACGTTTAATAAAGATTCGATTTTTTCTTAAAAAAAAAATTTTTAACCGTAAATTCTTAATTTTTTGAACAACTCTTTTTCTTATCAATTTGAATATTATTAATACTACAAATGTTATCAAAAATATTTAATGAACACACTTACGGGTCATTGTAAAAGGTGCACTCTCGTCAATTAAAGACGTATATTCAATAAATGAAAGTGCAGTAAACCCTTTTTTTTGATCAAGGTAAATGATAATAATATTTTTTTTGGAGAATAGTGTCATATTGCCATCCACCACTTGTTGATAACTAACCTCTGTTCATTTACTGGAATTATTTTAGAAAATTCTTGAACCATATTCATGAAAAACACTGAATGATTCGTTGTTTGGAAAAATTTCAAACTTTCTTCCTCATTTAATCGAAGTAATCCTGTAACTGAATCTGAATGTTGTGCCGTTTTAAATGGTTCTAAATATAGTAAAAGAGTATAAATTTTTCTATTTGATTATTAAAAATTTAAAAAAAAATATGTAATATAAATTATTTTCAACTCACATAATAGGAGGAATTGGGTTGGCTAAATGTGCTTTCAAAAATTGGGATATGTACTGTGTAGTTATCACTTCCAACGGTATATAGTTTATAATCTCCCGAAAATGTTTGTTGAAATCATAGATCCGGTTTATCCGGATAATCATTTATTTGAAATATTGAAACATTCACAGTAGATAACTTCACTGGAATCATGGTATATTTGATCATTATTTTTTTGATTAAAAGATCAATAACTTCATTGATAGCCAGCAGCTGGCTTTGTTGGTTCAGTATCTACAGATAAAAAAAAAAAAATATTAAAATATATATATATATATGTAAAGAAAGAAAAGAAATTAAAAGCTTACTCTGATTATTTAATTTTGATAAGATAAAGATTTAATAAAAATCCTAATTTATTTTTGTTCTGTTCCTTTGCTTCAAAATAGTACTATTCATCTGAAATGTATTATAATGGAAGAATTCTGGCCCAAAAGATCCCATGATCGCATATCATCTACATTGTATTATTTAATGACATATATCCTTCAGTATTATAAAGTCGCAATACATAATTTAATTGTAATTTTTTCGGTGGTTTTGTAATTAATTATTATGCCATATTTTTCTTAACACCATTGATTGATTTAGTATAAACTATCATTACATGATTAAAAATTAAAGGTAAAATATCCATATTAAAGGGGCAAACTGTTTGATATATTTTAGATGAAATATCATCTTACGATGATATGTTTTGAAATAGAATGAAAAAGCAATAGATGGATATTAAACAATAAAGGTGACAACACCTTTAAATTGAACATTTTTACCAAGAGGCGTGAAAAATGTGAAATTTTTTACTGGAGGATTACAGAACATTTATATATGTTTCCCGTAATTTAT